TTTACTTGGAGCACTTGGAGCACTTCATGCTTCCTTCTGCTGACCAGCTTTTTGAAGATGCTGATTTCATTTTCCAGGCACCTGCCCACACTGCCAAAAGCACCAAAAGTTGGTTAAATGACCATGGTGTTGGTGTGCTTGACTCAAGATAACAGCTCTGAGTTTTCTCCTATAATGCCTGATGAGTTTGGAGAACACCTGACAAGAGATCAGAGATCAGTTATAGCTATAATGAACAAGTTGAATTTTTCTTCTGAAATCTAGAGCATTTATTAGCGAATTTTATTTTATTTTATTCCTGTATTTCCTTATAATTAACTAGTTGCTGACTCGCCTGAACAAGGAGTTGACTTATTGGTCTTAAGGTATCAACATGGCCCTTCAAACAGTATATTTCAGTATGTTTACAGGTGCATCTCAATAAATTAGAATGTCGTGGAAAATGTGAGCCAAAATCATCACAATTAAAAGAACCAAAGACTTAAACTACTTCAGTCTGTGTGCATTGAATTTATTTAATACACGAGTTTCAATTTGAGTTGAATTACTGAAATAAATGAACTTTTCCACGACATTCTAATTTATTGAGATGCACCTGTATATATTAGCATGATGCTACCAGACAAAAAAGATTTCCATTCTTATTGGTCAGAAATATCCTTCAGTGTGTGAACTTTTCACAGTTAGTGTGAAGAGATCCATCAATGCATTGTATCATAGTTAAATTTGTTGAAAATTTGTGCCAAATATGTAAACTATTGTGTTGTGGATGCTAATGTTTTTTTTGGGTATATAAGTTTGCTGATCACAGAGAACAGACAGCATGTGATTGTGCATGTGTTTGGTCTTAGGTGGTGAACCCCTCGTTTCCAAACCCTCGGCGTCGTTTGCGTCTGCGTGATCTGGCTGAGAGAGTGATCGACGCTCAGGAGAACGAACAGGAGCTCAACAAACTCCTCAATGAAGCGCTGCTGGAGCGAGAGACAGTACAGGCGTATGTAGTGTACTTATTATGAAAATAACATATTTCAAAAGAACTTACATAAGCATGAACTGAATGTATTGTTTTTAGACACTTAATAGGCATCTGTTAGTCAACACATCAAAATAAGTGCACTTCTTTAAAACACGACAAATGACTATTAAAACATGATGACTTCAAATGTACTTTAAATAAAACTTTCAATATGACATTGTTATAAAGTGCACTCTTTAAAAGTGTACTTAAGTGTGTTAAGAAACACAGTCATCAAAGTGTCTCTCTTTAAGTATACTTAAGTGGCCTTTTATTTCATTAATATTATATTATCTGCTAGTACTTCATTTTTCACAGTGTTTGTGTGTGTGTGTGTGTTTTCAGGCTGAAAGGGAAGCACACTAATCGTCTGTCTCTGCGCTTTACTGATCCGGAGCTGGAGACGCGCTTCTCGGTGGAGAAGGAGAAGCAGAGCGGAGCGGCGTTCAGCTGCTCTTGTGTGGTGCTGCTCTTCACTGCCGTCATGGAGGCTCTCATTGACCCCTGGTCAGTTAACTATTAACACATCACCACACAAACACCATCAGCCTCAGCCCAGCCCCCTATTTTAGCAGCCAAAGGTCAACGGAGGCCCGTCATAATCTGTTTACAGTTATTATAGCATCTGTTTGTTGTTCTAAAAATAAGGTCCTGTTGCTATTTGGCGTTTCCCTTTGTCTCTGGCTTTGAAATATCCACCTTCATTCAAGGCTGGGATCTGTACAGGTTTCCCGATTTAGATTTGATATCGATTCATCTGTGCAGACCCTTGTGGAAAAACAAGTACACTTCAGCAAACTTTAAAAAGAGTACTTATGGAAATAATATACTTATGTACTGTAAGTGTGAACTGAATGTAATGTTCTTTAAAAATTAAATTAAAATGTATTTTAGTTAAAAGTGTTGATTAAATTAAATTACTTTTTTGACTCCCTTATGTAGGACTTAAGTACATCTTTATATGTAATTCTATAATTACTTTAATTGTACATTACAAAAATATTAATAAAAAAAAATAACAACTGGGTCCAAACTAAGGCTATTTAACTGATGAAATAATCAGCACAACAAAATAACCTTTTGGATGCCAACTTAAGTTAACTTTAAACAGTTTTGATAAATGGTTTAAAAGAGTATTGTATTCATGAATCGGACTACACTGATCATGCTGTATGTTTTTGCATGCATCTACGGAGCCCCTAAAGGGACATTCTGTTGGAAAAATATGGGGTGGGAGGAAATTTTTTTTTTTTAATCTTTTGCGGTCTCTTGCAAAACCTTTGCGTTTCCCTGGGAAACTTTTGCAAAACCAGTTGATTTCGGACAAACACGTCCTGTTTACTTTACAGCTTGCAGTGGTTCATACAGCCTAAAGAAATACAGTCAGTGCTTAGTTCAAGGCACGGATTTACAGTTTATTAATAATATATACTACATAGCCTACAGGAAAGCAGATAAGCCCAGAATATTAACAGAAAGTGCTAAATTGCACGCTAAGCGTTTTTCCTCTCATAGAAGCCATTGAAGAAACACAGCTCAATGAAGACGGCGATAAAAAAAGACCAAATATGCTATACAGATTATTAAAAATATATACTGTGTACATTTGCAAGCAGATGAGCCCAAAATATGAGCTGAATTGCATGAGAAGCATTTTCTTCCCCATAGAAAACCACGCTTGGTTTAATATAAGAAGACAGTGATATAGACCAAATAAAAAATATATACAGGCAAGCATCGTGCTAATCCAAATCCATTAAGCCACATTAAGAGTTTTCTTTGTTTTTCTACGGGCGAGAAAACACATGAAACTTTGCACGTTCCGTTAATATTCTGGGCTCATCTGTTTTCCTGTGCGTACTATATTTTATTAATAAACAGTATACCAGATTTGGTCTTTTTATATCACCGCCTGCGTTCATTAGCCTAACTTAAGCTTTTTCCATAATGGTTTTCTATGGGGAAAAACATTTTTTACGTGTATTAGCGCATTGCAAAAGTTTTGCAAGGAAACGCAAAAAATTGTAAAAATAGTTTTTTCCTCCCACCCTGAATTTTCTAAAAATATCGGACTAATCTGAAAATTCTGCACCTTTTTTATATGATATAATATCATTTTATCTGTACTGCAAAAAGCAATAACCAGCAATTGTTAGTTTAGAGAGATGTTTCTACCTTATGTAAATCAGTATGTACAGTATGTGTGTGAAAAGCATTAGGGTAGGAATGGCCAATGCTCATTTTCCCCTGTCTATGTATTTTTGCTCCGCACAGGTTGATTGCAAACTATGCGACTCTGGCTGTAGGTGAAGTCTTGCTACTCATTCTTACTATCTGTTCGCTGGCAGCTATTTTCCCACGGGTGAGTTTCTGTTCTTACACCTTCCTCAACGAATCACACAGAACATGTGTCCACTTGTTTGGATGCCGACTGGTTTCGTACGTGATGCGAATTTCTTGTTTCACTCAGAAATACGGTAGTAAAGTTGCTTCCAGCTTCTGTGTGATGTCAACTTTAACATGAAATTCAGTGCATCTCATCACTAAGGCCCCGTCCACACGGATCCGGCGTTTTGGGAGAGTGAAACCGATATTTTTTGAAACCGGGTCCCAGAGTGGATAAATCTGAAAACGCCACCCTTGCGTTTTCGTGTGGACAGCGAATCCGTATATTTTCTGAAACGATGACGTCATCAGCCCACGTCAGACACCGCTACGTCTCGTAACAGCAACAAAAACATGAACAAACACTGAACGATTGTCTTTTTATTAACTAACATTAACACAGATTAATAAATGTATTGTTCCATGTTCGTTTGTATACCGCGCGCAAGGTTTATGTACATAGTCCAAGTCTTCTTCTCCATTTTTAGTGTATCTCTGTGGCAGAATTACAGCACCACATGCTGGTCTGGCACGTATACTATATCGTTTTGTGTCAGTTTCATGTGGACACAGATATTTCTTGAGACGAGGGGAAAAAAAAGATCGGATAGGGAAAGCTCTGGCTTCGTGTGGACGTAGCCTAAGGTTTTAGCCCTCATTTGCTATGAGATTTCCTGAATATGCAGGATTATGCTTTCTATTAGTCGCCGGGATCATGATAAAAAAAATGTTTCCATTTCCAATGCATCTTTGTCGACTTCTTATGTAATATTAATATAACCAGTCACATTAATGAAATGTAGTTCCCGAGGCTCTTCCATTTACTGTTGGAACATGCAGCGGTATATTTGACTCATCCTCATTAGTTAGGTCAGCACATTCCCAATTGACTAATAAAGTTCCCGGTATTGATTCCCTCTCAAGCACACACACACACACACACACACACACACACACAGATTGAGTGAGCACAGTGATAATGTGTTTCTGGAAGGGGAGACGGTCACACACACAACAGATGAAGGACGCATGAGTCCATATGGCTTAACTGAAGAATGTATTGATTTTAAAAAGCATGTTGCTGTGAATTAAATCAATTGTTTCCACAATCACTGTATACGCAGCTGAACACATGCACACTGTGATTAGATCCTAGGTCTTTCCATTGACCTTACTGCTCACTTACTGTCAGAACAGGTCGTGTGTGTACAACTTTTGCTGTGATTGGATGTTTATGTAGCTTTTTTGTCTTGTTTTCAAAGGTATTTCCAAAGAGATTGGTGTCGTTCTCCACTTGGATTGATCACACGCGCTGGGCTCGCAACACTTGGGCCATGGCGGCCATCTTCATAGTCACAATGGCCGACATAGTAGATATGGTAAGAAACAAGTGAATTAAGTAAACAAAAGTATGTTTTTTCTAATTCAAGAAATGTATAATGAAAGGAGGTGCTTAATCTTCAAAAAAAATTGATTATCAACCTCAGGAAGTCAGCTTTTTTATATTAGCTGTTTTATTTTATTTTATGTATTTTTTTTCTTTAAAATAAATAGCTAAATAAATAAGGAAATGGGGATGCATGTAACAGTGTTGCAAATTCAAGCGGCAACCTCCCGCTCTCTCTCGTGAAGCCAACACGGAAGTGACTTAAACTGTAATTTGTCAACTGGCCGCTAGAGGTTGGCTACAAAAGGGAGTCAGTCCCATAGACTCCCCATGTTAAAATGCCCAACTTTACAGCAGAAAAAAACGTTTACAGCCTGGTTCAAAAAATTATTTTGGTCTATATAGCTAATTTTGCCCTTCATGACAACTGTGAGGGGGGTGAATTTTTTATAACTCATCCGTTTAAATTATATTAAGGCTTAAAGTTCTGCATAATTAAGGGCGTGGCCGCTTGAGTGACAGGTGGATTGCCACTGCTGTCCCCACCGTCGAGCTAGGTGGGCGTGGTTTCAGCAACCAGCTCCCGCCTCTTTGCCCATTTTCGATTATCCGGGAGTGACACGCAAGATGGCGACGGCCGGCTCCGCCCACTTTGAGCTTCAAAAACGCTCTTCAGAAACCTACGGGTGACGTCACGGACACTACGTCCATGTTTTTATACAGTCTATGATGTATTTATTTATTGTAATTTGGTAGACTTACAGTTCTCTTTAAATTATATAAATATATTTGTCCTGTATTTTATGATTAATAATGGTTTATGATCATTTTACATATATTTTATGAATCTATTATATATAATTTAAAATATCTACATATCTACCAAAAAATGGGATTACATTAAAGGTAAATCATCATGTGCAACTTTACTAGTTATTTGCTAGTTAATACTACTTTTTTACATAGATTATATAAACTGCCGCTCATAAGTTTGTGAGTAGGATCTAATACTTAATAAGATTCACTGCTTTTATTCAGCAAGGACGCATTAAATTAATCAAAAGTGACAGTAAAGACATTTATATTATAATGTTAAAAAAGATTTCTATGTCAAATAAATGCTGTTCTTTTGAACTTTCTATTCACCAAATTGTGGGAAAAAGTACCATGGTTTGCAAAAATATTTAACTGTTTTCAGCATTGATAATAATCAGAAATGTTTGTTGAGCAGCAAATCAGCATATTAGAATGATTTCTGAAGATCATGTGGCACTGAAGACTGGAGTAATGATGCTGAAAATTCAGCTGCGCATCACAGAAATAAATGACATATAAAATAGTTATTTTAAATTGTAATAATATTTCACAATATTACTGATTTTCCTGTATTTTTGATCAAATAAATGCATCCTTGGTGAGCAGAAGAGACTTCTTTCAAAAACACACCAGTGATATTAAATAAATGGACAAATTTTAACATCTAAAACTAAAGCATCACTTTTAAGATGATGTTTTTGAAAGCTGTACTTTTTCTGATGTCCTCTGTAGTTGAGCTGTCGTCCACCAGAGTCCTCCACAAATGAGGCAACTGCGGTCACTCCGGTCACTCTGTCCGCCAGCGGCTGTTCGGAGAATCCTAAATACTACAGCTACATCGCAGTGCTGGCTCTCATCGCCACCACCATGCTGGTGCAGGTCAGTCACATGGTCAAACTCACGCTCATGCTGCTGATCACCGGAGCTACAGGTGTGGTCAACATCTACAGCTGGAGGGACATCTTTGACCAGTACGATCTGGTGCGCTTTAAGGAATACAGGTGGGTCAAGCACTAATCACAGCAAGGATTAGCAGTATTATTACCCATTAGTACTCTATTATTATGTGAATAACATCTCAAATCAAGCAGTCTGTTTAGCAGAGGTGTGTTGTTACTTATTTAAAGGGATAGTTCTCCCAAAAATGACAATTCACAAACCTGTATGAGTTTCTTTCTTCTGTTGAACACAAACAAATACTTTAAATAATATTGGTAACCCAACAGTTGGAGGTAGCCATTGACTTGCGTAGTATTTTTTTTTACCCCATAAGTCAATGGCCAATGCCAACAGTTGGGTTACCAATATTATTCAAAATGTGTTCAACACAAGAAAAAAACTCAAGGGTGAGTAAATTTTTAGGTGAACTGTCCCTTTAAGTGATCAGACTTGTGATTTTCAGGGATTTTCACCTGGTGGATTATAAAACTGTGAAACATCTCTTATTTACATCGATTAAGCCTGATATCTCTAGGTATTATAATATCATTTATTTATTTATTTTTACAGAGTTCATCTTGTGCCCTCCAAATACACCATGAGTGTGATGATCTTCATCATGATGGTCAGCTTCTACTACTTCTCCCGACATGTGAGATTTCATTTTCTCTCTTTCTCGCTCTCTGTGATCATTTTTAGTTCTCTCAAAAATGGAGATTCTGTAATTATTCACAATGACTTTCTTCCTTTAGTGAGTAGAATTTTTTGAACAATATCCTGGCCTCAATTTTCCATATAGAGCCTAATGAAAGCTTCAAGATGACATAAAAGCACCTTAAAAATTAAACTACACCCATACAACTCACGTGTTCTATTCCAAGTCTTCTGAAGCTGAAATTTATGTTGTTATTTATTGTCAAAACGGTCAAATTCCTTGAAGCTTCCTTGAAAAATCTGTCGGGTTTGACATCAATGACATTTGGTTAGAAGATGCAAGAAGTAATGTTTGTTGCATCAGATAACATTAATGCACCATTTTTGTCCAAACAGCTTTTTTGAACTTCGGCAGAGGGGACGTTTTCAACAAATAATGACTTACATTTTAGCCTGTTCCTCACACCTATCGTATGGCTTTAAAGGACTTGGGATGCAGTGCACTAGTAAAACAATCTACTATTATAATAATACTTTTAGGATGATTGTTTTGACATTTTAGAGCTTGACATGCCTAGTTTCCATTTACCAGCATTATATGGTAAAGAGCATCCAGGATATTTTTTAAAAACTCACTTTTTGTTTTCCATAGAAGAAAAAAGGTCATATGGGTTTTTGGAATAACATGAAGTTAAAGAAATAATGAAAGAATTTTAGTTCTTTGGATTAAATGTTTTTTTTTATTACACTACATTTCGATAGTTTGGGGTTGGTAAGATTTGCATTTATTTGATCAAAAATTACAGTAAAAACAATAATATTTGGAAATATTATTACAATTTCAAATAACCGTTTTCTTTTTGAATATATTTTAAAATGTAATTTATTCCTGTGATGCAAAGCTGAATTTTCAGCATCATTGCTCCAGTCTTCAGAGTCACATGATCCTTCAGAAATAATTCTAATATGCTGATTTGCTGCTCAACAAACATTTCTGATTATTATCACTGCTGAAATATTTTTGTGGAAACTGTGAAGGATTCTTTGTCACTTTTGATCAATTTAATGCATCCTTACTGGGAAAAAAAAAAGAGTTTTTGAGCGGTCGTGTACATTCTCACCTTTCTTTCTGCTGGCGTGGCTCAGGTGGAGAAGCTGGCACGCACACTGTTCTTGTGGAAGATTGAAGTGCATGAGCAGAAGGAGAAGGTGTACGAGATGCGGCGCTGGAACGAGGCTCTGGTCACTAATATGCTTCCGGAGCACGTCGCCCGGCATTTCCTGGGCTCCAAGAAGAGGGATGAGGTGAGGCCTGTCAGTCCCAGCTTTTGTGTTTGACTCAAACTCTGTCAAACTCAATTAACTTTCCTATGCACACGTCCCAGGAGCTCTACAGCCAGTCCTACGATGAGATTGGAGTCATGTTCGCCTCCATCCCAAACTTCTCTGATTTCTATACAGAGGAAAGCATCAACAATGGTGGGATTGAGTGTCTGAGGTTCCTCAATGAAATCATTTCCGATTTTGATAGCGTAAGTACTAGTAGTAGGAGTATTTCACCCAGTCGTTGCCAATAAAAGTACCAGTTGAGACTTTATACTGTTGTTTGTTTGCTTTTGTGCTCTTTAGCTTTTAGACGAGCCACAGTTTCGCTGTATAACCAAGATCAAGACTATTGGCAGCACCTACATGGCAGCATCAGGAGTCACTTCAGACAATAACACTAACGGTTATGCTTGTATGAAGGTAAAGGAGGTACATGTGAGTCCATCTAGTTCTACAACCTCAATTCCTGAGAAGTTGGGACGTTTTGTGAAATGCCATAAAATCGAGAATATGTTATCTGTTCATTCTCTTTAACTTTCATTTAATTGACTAAAGTACAAAGCAAAAATGTCCAATGTTTTTACTGACCAACTTAATTTTATTTTGTAAATATAGACAAATTTTGATGGCTTTAACAGACTCCAAAAAAGTTGGGACAGAGGCACGTTTAACACTGTGTCACATCAACTGATGTATAGCTTTCTCCTAGAGTAACAGAGATTCAAGTTGCATTTCTTGATGCAGCAGCAGACTGTGGTAAATGACAGTGGTTTTCCGAAGTACTCCTGAGCCCATGTGGCTATATTTAACAGTGCAGCATGACGGTTTCTTATGCAATGCCATCTGAGGGCTCAAAGGTCAAGCACATTCAACTGAGCTTTCCTGCCTTGCCCTACACAGACTGAGATTCCTCTGTATTCCCTGAATCTTTTCATATTATTATGTATGGTAGTTGGTGAAAGACTTAACTCTTTGCGATTTTGCATTGTGAAATGTGATTTGTTTGACACTTCTCTCATGAAATTTGGCACAAAGTGATGAGCCATGATCAAAGACTGAGATGCTCCTTTTATACCCAAACATGATACCTTGACCTGTTACCAATTCACCTGCTTACTGTGAACTGTTCCACAACAGTTTAACATGGATATTCTATAACCTTTTCACTTTTATTTTGCCTCTTTCCCAACTTTTTTGGAGTGTGTTGCAGCCGTCAAAATCTAAATTTGTTCATATTTACAAAATACATTTGTGACCCTGGACCACAAACCAGTCTTGAGTCGCTGGGGTATATTTGTAGCAATAGCCCAAAAAAACATTGTATGGGTCAAAATGATCGATTTTTTTTTATGCCAAAATTCATTAGGATATTAAGTAAAGATCATCTCGGCCAAATATTGTCCTATCCTAACAAACCATACATCAATGGAAATCATATTTATTCAGCTTTCAGATGTTGTATAAATCTCAATTTCGAAAAATTGATCCTTATGACTGGTTTTGTGGTCCAGGGTCACATTTAAGTTGGTCAGTGAAAAATTTGGACATCTTTTCTGTCTGAGAGAATGAACAAATCACAGATTCTTGATTTTATTGCATTTTACAAAACGTCCCAACTTTTCTGGAATTGGGGTTG